CCTCAAAGCTGGTTCTTGGGGCCCATCTCAGATGGCAGGGAGGCGCAGTTTAGGCGGGGAAGGTGGAAAGCGCAGGCTGCACCTAGCCGCCAGGCACCACCCCGTGTCCGGGACAGTGAGGACACCGGCATGGTGGCGGTCACTGCCACCGGCAGCCCGTTTTCTTGGGAAGGAGTGTCAGGAAGTTGCTGTGACATCCTGGAAAAAATGTTCCCTAAATCTCCTGAGTGGCAGGGCCTCCCTCTCAAGCCAGCAGCCAGCCAGCCAGAGGGGAGGCCAACAGCAGGAGCGGAGGCCTCGGTGTGAATTCTGGTGGGAAACCAGGGGCAGGGTGCCCTCAGGCATCAATGTATTGATCTGTGCTTCAGTTTCCCCAGGACAAGGTCGGAAGAAACGGTGGCCCTTCCAGCTCTGATCTCACGGTTCTGGAAACGGCTCCCAACTGCAACAGTGCTTCCCTGCAGTCATTCCAGTTGTCTCTGTCGGCTGTGAGGAAGAACAGAATGACAAGTTTGGGGGAAAAAAAAGAGGGAAAGCGAGTCCGTTATTTCCTGCGTAACAGTCAGCATTGCTTCTCAGCAGCCAGCCTGCGACGGGCATTCTTACTGAAGGGTGTGTGCGTGACAGGCAGGGAATGTGATAAACGCCAGTAAATTGACGGGAGGCAAAGTGCAAACATATCTATAGCGATATCGACACGGTGTCCGTAGAGTCTGAAATCAGGTAACAGTGTTTTATTTTTTTCAAGTAGAAGATATTCGTGACAACACTGTGTATATTCACTTGTTTCTGGATTTTGTGGACACCTGTATAGCTACCTGATTTTATACATGTAAAATTATTATATATCAGATAAAGTGCATATGCTATATAATATATACTCTCTATATATGAATACATGTATATATATGTACATACACAAATGTATATATGTTTATATAGAGGGAGTGCAAAAAAAGCAAGTAGGGCAAAAACATTAATGAGTGAATCTAAAAATAGTCAAAAAAAAGTGTATATAACTCTAGGAGTTACCTAAATAGCAGGTAACTGCTATTTAAGTGGTCAAAGCATGGCATTTGAATGGAAAATGAACTTTTAAATCAATGAAATATAAGAAATGACCACAATATTTGTATTAGTTATTAAGGGCATTAAATATAGAGAAAGACTTGACTTTACATGAATGCCCTGAGGGATTATTTTTCAGTTTTGTTCATTTTAAAATTTTATATTTAATTTGAAAAGCATTTCTGCCCTGGTCAGGTGGCTCAGTTGGTTGGAGTGTCCTCCCATACACCAAAAGGTTGAGGGTTTGATCCCTGGTTGGGGTGTGTACTGGAGGCCACTGATCAATGTCTCTCTCCCTTCCTCTCTCTAAAATAAATAAAAACATATCCTCAGGTGAGGATTTTTTAAAAAGCATTTCTAATTTCTCTGGCAGATTCTAGGCAGCCATTGCAGGAACCCATCCCTGGGTCACTCCTTGCAGCTACACCTGCTACTGAATGGTTACAAAGCTCCATGCAGAACTGGCTGAGGCTCTGCTAATCCTTCTTGTTTGTTAGCGATGCCTAACTACTCTTCATTAAAACTGAAACGTCAACTCTGTTTATTTTGATGAAATAATTCACCGCATCAGGATTATTTGAAATTTGACTTTAAGTTCTGTTCAGTGTTTGATACTGGAATGCAGGGGTGGGAGGTATGTCTAAAACATGATCCTGGCTCTCGAGGAGCTTACAGTCTAGGACCAGACTGCATTAGTCTAAGGACTGACTTTCTCGTTCTGGGGATAAAATTGGAAGGTTTTTCTTTTTTTCTTTTTTTCTATGAAGGTGTGGGCCTTTATGCTGCCCCCTGAGGTAGGGGTAAAACCCCAGTAAGCTTTGATGCCATCTCCAGCTCTTCTGGGTGGAGCACAGAGTGTGTCGAAGAGCAGGGAGGGGGCGCTGTTCTGACGGCCAGAAGCCTCCTAGTGGTACCCAGTGCTCACCCTGTTGCCTTGGCCACCCTGTGGAGAAAGTCAGAGGCCCTCCTTGTATATGGGATTAGTGGTGTAGTTAGAGCTTGAGCATCGACCTAGCATCCAGGAGATCGCTGTTCCATTCCTGGTCAGGGCAGGTGCCCAGGTTCTGGCTCGATCCCCAGTGGGGGGTCGTGCAGGGGGCAGCCGATGAATGACTCTCATCATTGATGTTTCTCTCTCTCTCTTGCCCTCTCCCTTCCTCTCTCTGAAATCATTAATGACATTTTTTTTTTTTTTCTTAAAGGCTAGCTTTAAGGGCCTGAGCTGCCCTGGTACAATCACCTCCCAATCCTATAAAAACTATGTGGCAAAAAGTTAGTCCCATGCTTACATTTCAAACATAATTTGGGGACCTAAATTTAAGCTACTATTTAGCAACCGGGTTTCCTCAGCCAGCTTTTTGTCTCAAGACCCCTGAGGACAGTATGATGACTGAAGAACTGGAGTCTAACGTCTTGGTGTTTTAGGGGGGAGCAGGCTCTTGAAGGAAACTATCAGGGACACAGCTTTGTCAAAAATAATGTAATTCAAAGCAGAATGAAGGCCAAACAGAAGTACAAGGTGTGCATTTGGGGAGCACAGAGAGAATGCTGAAGGTTGATTCTGGAACAGCAGGTGAGGCTTCATAAAGACGGAGCAGCTTCTGAGCCTGGTCCTGAAGGGTGGGCAGGACATCCACAGGCAAGTGATAGGGAAACAGGATCCCTGGACTCAGGAAAGGCAAGAATTCCAAATACTGGATGGAATAAAACGATACTAGGAGGAAGCAAGCTGCCAAATCCAGAACGTAGGCCACTCTGCAGGACAATTTGCCCTGTTTCTTTAGCAAGTCAATGGCCTGGGAAGAGGTGCTGGTGGAGGGAAGATTAACTAGATTTAAATACCCTGCTGCACCTCATGGTAACAGAATTCCCTGCCCTCCTTCTCTCCCTCACTCCCTTCCTCCCTTCATTCCTGTATTTGACAAATGCTTAACTGGTACTCACTATGTGACAGGTACTGGGTTAGTCAATCAACACTGTGGACCCTAACCTTATAATGCCTCTCTGGTTGGCCCTTTTATTTCTGTGTCCCCCCACCCCATCCCCCTTCTCTAGCAAATATCCAAATTACAGCAGTGGTCTCCCTGTTAGTCTCACTCTCTCCAATCTCATACCTTTTCCACAGTCTGTAAAACTAATATGAAAGTTGATCTGGAATGAATAAATCCCACAGAGCCTGGACAGAGGCCACCTGGTCACTGCCCTCGGTAGGAATGCCGGAGGAGGCTGCTTCATTGAGGGCAAGCTCTGGACTTTGCAGAAAAAGAGACAGCCCACAGAAAAAAAATGACAAGATATGTGGCAAAGGCTTTGGGGAGATAAGGTGCTTAAAAAAAATGTGTTTATTGATTGATTTTAGAGAGAGAGAGGAAGGGGGGGGAGAGAGAAACACTGATTTGTTTTTCCAATTACTTATTCACTCATTGATCCTTAAGGCCCTTCCCCCAAACTCAATCACCTTCCATCTTAACCTACTTTCCACATACACTCTAAGTAAAAACAAGCTGCTTTCTATGCAAACACCGTTCCGACATACACTGGCTGCCCCCACCCAGACTGCCACAGTCAGTGTCTCCCAGTGTCGACATACAGGAACTCCCACGGCACAGAGCCTAGAGGCTACTCAGACACAGGACAGAGGAGTCTGAGATCAGTCAGAAATTTTAACCAGCTTGCTGCATGGAAGTCGTGATACTNGCAGGACAGGAGTCCGAGATCAGTCAGAAATTTTAACCAGCTTGCTGCATGGAAGTCGTGATACTCTTGACCGAGAAAAAGATTATAGGAAATCATGATTGTGAAGGAAAATGATGAATTTATGTCCCGGGAGGATCTACGTGAATTTGGGCAATTGGGGGTGAGAGTGAGTCTGGAAGTCGGGAGGGAGGTTGGACCTAGTCGTGCAGACCTGGGCGTCATCCATCTAGAGCAGGTCGCCAAGCAGCAGGGCCCGAGGAGAGGGGCAAAGGGGAGATTCAGGAAGACTAGGAACAGACCCTTGAGAAGTGCTCTTGAAGGGCACGAGCAGAGGCGGGGTGTCAGGAAAGCAAAGGAGAAAGGGTCAGAGAAGCAGGGCGATGGACAGAGGCTCACACAGCTCATGAGGGCCCTGCCCGGCACCTCAGGCAGAGGAAGGGATAAGCAGGGATAATGGTGCGGTCCNAACACAGCTCATGAGGGCCCTGCCCGGCACGTCAGGCCGAGGAAGGGATAAGCAGGGATAATGGTGCGGTCCCCCTTTCTTTTACAAAAAACATCACTTCTCTTCTTGAAAATTGGTTTTTAATTTATGCTTCGTTCTATAAAATGGTCCAACATTTTTTTAAAGACTTTTGATTGATTTTTAGAGAGAGAGGAGGCGGAGAAGGGGAGAGAGAGAGGGAAACATCCATGTGAGAGTGAAACAGACCGGCTGCCTCCGGCACGCCCGGCCGGGGATCGAGCCTGCGACCCGGGCCTGTGCCCACCGGGAAGAGCCAGCGGTCTCCCTGCGCACAGGATGACGCCCAACCAGCTGAGCCACAGCAGCCGGGGCCAAACGGTTTAACTTTTAACACAACGTATTAAAAATATTTAGAAATTCCCTGAATCCCTCCAGTTTCGTAGTTTCACGATCAGTCTCCCAAAAGCTCTGCTGTTGTCTGCAGAATTTGTTACAATCTGTTCAGCCGGTCCACCGAAGCGCTTCCATCTGTGCTGAAATGCCCCTGGCGTTCCCTTTGATCTCCCAGCCGAGCGCCCCCTTGGCGGGAGCCGAGCTGTCCCCACCCGACGGTCAGGCCCGCCAGGCGGCCGGGCTGCGCTTGGGTGCAGGCGTTGGGGGCCCTTTCCCTCGCTGCAGCCGATTCTCCTCCGGCGTCTGCCCGGCGTCCGCCCCTGCAGGGCCCGTGTGCTGAGGGGACTGGTTGTGCTTGGAGCTCTGATTCGGGCACCTTGCTCTTGGGCCCTCTTCAGAACTCTCCCCCCGCCTCCCCTTTCACCCTGAAGGGCTGGCTCCTCGCCGCAGGGCTGTGCGAGTCGTGCTGGGCTCATGTCTCTGGAGTCACGGTCCCCCGGGGGACGCCCCCCCACTCGCGGGCCTCGGGGGCCCTCAGGCTGGAGGGCATGCTGCCCGCCTTGCAGTCTCGTTGTGAGGGTCTTAGGTTCTCCCCTGGAAGGATCTCAAGAGGGGCATCGTCATCCGTGTCTGCTCCCTGAACGAAACGCTCGCGCGGACAAGCGTCCGAGTGGCTCTCCGGCCAGGCGGCCTCGCCAGGGCCCGCGGGAGCTGCAGCGGAGCGCGGCGTGGGCGGCGGCGTGGGCGGCGGAGCACCCGCACGGAAGAACTCCAGGTCTCGGAGGGAGCGGTGCCAGTGCTCGGCCTCAGCGGGCACGCCCGGGACCGCGTCCCCGGGGGGACTGTCGCCCGGGGACCCGGGCAAGGTCCACGGGCTGCCACGTTTGTGGGTGCTCCAGGCATGTTCCCTTCGACTCTCGTACAAGCCAGAGTCTGAACCAGAGTCTGAACCAGAAATGGAAGGTCTTTCCAAGTGCGCCTCCTGGTTCTCACATTCCCCCCGAGCCTTCTGGGGGGCGAGGTTGTCCTCGAGGCCCTGGGCCGGCGGGCCGCTCCAGGGGTCCTGGCCCTTGCCCTGCGGGGGCTCGCCGGCCCTCGGGCTGCCCGCGCCCCCGGCCTC